CTATTTGCAATGACATGGATGGAACTAGAGGTTATTATGGTAAGCAAAATAAGTCAGAGAAAGACAAATACCATATGATTTCACTGATGTGGAATTTAAGAAACAAAGGAGAAAGGGCAGGGCAGGGGGGGGGGTAGGCGAAATGAGAAAGGCATACTAAGAATCAAACTTTTAACCATAGAGAACAAACTGGTTACCAGATGGGAAGTGGGTAGGGCAATGGGTGAAATAGGAGATGGGGATTAAGGAGTGCACTTGTTGTGATGAACAACAGGTGTTGTATGGAAGTGTTGGATAACTATATTGTACACCTGAAACTAATATCACACTGTATGTTAATTGGAATTCAAATAAAAACTTTTTTTAAAAAACTGGCACTACCTAGTACACTTGAAGATGCACACATATCCTCTGACTTTACAATTCTGCCCTGGGTACATAACCCCTGATAAATGTTATTAGCACTTGTGCATCAGGTAGCATACATAAGAATGCCATGTTTATCATGGCAAAAAAAAAGGAAACAAGTGCCAATCAACAATAGAATGAAAAATATACCCTAATCATAGAATGGCATATTCCAAAGCAGTGAAAATGAACTATACAGCTACATGCTTAATCATGAATACATCTCAAAATAATATATTTTAAAAAGCAAGTTTTAAAAAAACAGAAAGATACATACAGTATTGTTCTATTTACATAAAAATTTAAAAACATAACCAAATATATTTTAACACATTTGCATAAATGATAAAACTATAAAGTAAAAAGGAATAATTGCATGAAGATAATTCCATAGTGTAACTTCTATAAAACTACCTGTAGTTGCTTTAAAATTGTGCATATCTAAAGAACAATGCTTTCTCTTGCCCATTTGCAAAAGAGTCTTGGTCATTCTTTCATTGAAGTAATATATGTTGTACAAAGTGTACAAATATTTTTTTTTCCTCCAGGAAAGGACTTCACTGGGGCTCCTGGGTGGCTCAGTCAGTTGAGCACCCAACTTCAGCTCAGGTCATGATCTCATGGCTTGTGGGTTCAAGCCCCACCTCGGGTTCTGTGCTGACGGCTCAGAGCCCAGAGCCTGCTTCGGATTCTGTGTCTCCCTCTCTCTTTGCCCCTCCCCTGCTCACGCTCTCACTCTTTCTCTCTCAAAAATAAATACATATTAAAAAAATATTTTAAGAAAAAAAAGGACTTCATTGATAAGTTTGTTGTTAGTAGTTGTATTACTCATGAATCTTTTACTCAGTTATATCTTATGAATAATTCCATTCTTAGAGCAACCTGTTTTCTCATGACCATTGAAAGTCCATAGACTTCTAACACTCTTAAAATTCAATCAGGTAATTGTCATATCAGTTAAATCCATTATTTCTGGCCTGTCATCCTGGAGGAAAATCATTTCTAGCACATCATTAGACCATCTACATGTCTTAGTTAACTTTTCTCTACTTTAGTGGGAAGAACAGTAGAATTTTGAATTCTGTGAAGTGTTCAAAGAATTTCTTAATCATTTTGTCATCTCCTCTTAGGATACCCATTAAAGACATTGGTTTCTTTGTACTCTATTTAATTAGTGTTGATATATAGAGAGAATAAATCATTGTATCAAGGTGTGAGGAATGTTCCAGAAGTAAGGAACAATAAATACACAAATTGGAGCCAAACATCGTGACTGTAACTAGGCTCTGCCAGTTGTGTTTTCCTAAACTGGAAAATAATGTATTCTCTTAAGTCTAGCATAAGAGAAGAAATGTGGTGGAACTATTCATTAATATTTTCCAGTCTTTTATAATTATTATGGATGGATTTTATTCATTTTGATATTTATTTTGGGAAAATGTAAACTATGTCCAATCCATCCCAGAAGGAAAAAGGAATTCTATACTCAACAGAAATGTCATAATAAGACTCTCCTAACTCTATTCTATGTGGAACCAAAAGTAGTAAATTTTGCTTAAAATATTCACATTAATATAATAAAGAATAATATTAGATGTTAGAAATATACAATAAAATAACTATAAATGCAACTATGAAATCATTTAAAGTGTTGAGAATTTTCTACTAACAGAGGTTTTCTTTTTTTTATTTTTAAAAAAAAATTTTTTAACGTTTATTTATTTTTGAGACAGAGAGAGACAAAGCATGAACGGGGGAGGGTCAGGGAGAGGGAGACACAGAATCTGAAACAGGCTCCAGGCTCTGAGCTGTCAGCACAGAGCCCAACGCGGGGCTCGAACTCATGGACCCCGAGATCATGACCTGAGCCGAAGTCGGCCGCTTAACTGACTGAGCCACCCAGGCGCCCCACAGAGGTTTTCTTTTGAATACTTAACAGGTTGTCTGCTTAAGGAAATGTTCTCTAACTGCCATATATGTATGTATGTGTGTATGTGTGTGTGTGTGTGTGTGTGTGTGTGTATATATATATATATATATATACACACACACACACACACACATATATATATACACACATATATATGTATATATGTATATATATAATATACATAATATATAACATATATTCTATATAATAATAATTATTGTAAAACTGTTTTATTTGTAAGAGATTTGTCTGAAACTTCAAATGACTTACTTTTGTAGGCTTAACTATTTATTCCTTTTTTATTGCAGCCCTTTGGAGTAAATCAGCCTGGACCTTATATCATGTATACAACTGTAGATGCAAATGGATATCTGAAAAATGGTTCAGGTAAGACTTGATACAATATCCATAATACACAAAAACACCTTCAATCAATATATTGGCAAGGTAAGCTGGATGACAAAAATTATCATCATGTTTTCACACCAGAAACTGTGCCCATCAGATTACAAAAAGATCCTTATGATAAATATACTAATGTTCATTCCTCATATATCCCGATTATGAGCCATATTGGAGCCAAATCATTATCCTCACTTTTCAGTTGAAGTAACAGAGAAATTGGGAGACATTACCTGAGTTATTTTGACCAAAATGTGAAGTGGTAACTTAGTTAACAAAGCTATTCTTAGAAGAAGTAAAAATTAGGAATCCAGTCTACAACCTAGACTAATTCTAGTTTTCTCATATGTGAAATAGAAGCTACAATGTTATATATAGGTTTTTTAATATGTGATTATAAATAAAAACTTCTAGTTGTATATTTGAATAAATAATAAAGGGAAATGCAATCAAAACAAAAAAGAAATAAGACTAAGCAAAGGATGTCCGTTTTTGACAGATGGCTAGCTGACTGAGAGGAGGTCCAAATCATAGTAAATACAACTGTTCTAATTTCAATTCCCTAAATAAGAAAAGGAACCCTAACATATTAATGGGCTTCTTTGAGATTCCTAGAGTCCTAACCATGAAGAACTATAAAGAGAGTTGCTGTTACTCGTCCATTTTTATGCACCAAAAAAAGGAAGAATCCGTATATGACCATTCTCTTTTTATATAATGGCTTAACAATAAATGAAATATAAAAGAATGAGTTTCCTTTTTAGCTAATTATACACACTTAAGACTCTCAATTATAATACTGCTTCAGCATAGAAACATTCCATAAAACAAAAGCTGTTTAATAAAATTCACGGAGAAATTGACAAACACAACTAAAAACAAATACTTTAATACATCATTGTTAGTCAAGAAGATTTGAATAAGGATATAGACAATTTGAACAAATTACTTATCTATGTTTTAGTTCAGATACATATCAAACTGTACAAAAAAGTTCCTGGGACCAGTTGGTTTTATCTTTTATCAGTTAATTCTGTTTGAGTTTTAACATGTAGATAATTTAATTGCTAGGTAAGCTGTTCCAGAACACATGAAAAAAAGATGTACTTATTTCATTTAATGAAGTAAGTATAACTTAGGCAATCAGTCTTTTACTAACCCTCCTTCAAAAACTGGAAATAAACTCTCTTCCCACCAAACGTCAGTAGAACTTGATGGTGTACCTCTCTTATAACACCTACCACACTCTACCTTGTGTCAATAGTTATATATCTGTCTTATCTCCCATTAGACTATAGACTCATTAAAGACTGGTTCTATACCTAATTTTGTCTTTATGTGCTTTGCCCTTTCTAGGACACCCAAGTATTGGTTGAAATGCTAACATAAAACCAGTTCAAGGATTTATATTTCTTTAAAATAAGATTTGAGACAGAAAACTTGAACAGAAAGCTTAACCAAAATAGATTATACTGACAGTTCATAACTGGTTGCAAAAACAATTTCTTCATCTAACATAAAGTAGTATAAACTATTGAAAAAGCTGAGTTAAAATTAATAGATCTGTGTTTATTATTATAAAGCCTCTACTTTGTGCTGACCACTATTGCAGACTCACTCTATGGTATCTCATTGAATTTCACAGCACCCTTGCATGGCAGCCATCAGTCTACACCTGAGGATGCTGAGGCTCTGGGAGCTCAAGTAATTTAGCTGTTTCAGTCAGCTCTTAACTAGTAGAGCTGGACTTAAACTCAGCACTAACTACAAAACATACACATTCTTTTATTTTTCTTTCTTATAATGTATTTATAAAGTCAAGTTAATTAACATTCAGTGTAGTATTGGTTTCAGGAGTAGAACCCAGTGATTCATCACTTACATATAACACCCAGTGCTCATCCCAACAAGTGCCCTCCTTAATGCCCATCAATCCTTCCACCCACCTCCTCTCCAGGAACCCGCAGTTTGTTCTCTGTATTTTACAGTCTCTTATGGTTTGCCTCCCTCTCTATTGTTAACATATTTTTCCTTCCCTTCCCCTACGTTCATCTGTTGTGTTTCTCAGATTCGACATATGAGTGAAATTGTACATTTGTCTTTCCCTGCCTGACTTACTTCTCTTAGCATAATACACTCCAGTTCTATCCATGTGGTTGCAAATGGAATGATTGCATTCTTTTTGCTTGCTGAGTAGTATTCCATTATATATATATATACATATATGTATATATACACACACACACACACACACACACACACACCGTATCTTCTCTATCCATTCATCAGTCGATGGGACATTTGGGCTTTTTTCGTAATTAGGCTATTGTTGGTACTGCTGCCATAAACATTGGGATGCATGTATCGCTTCAAATCAGCATTTTTGTATGCTTTGGATAAATACCTAGTAGTACAGTTGCTGGATCATTGGGTAGTACTATTTTTAATTTTTTGAGGAACCTCCATAGTGTTTTCCAGAATGGCTGCACCAGTTTGCATTCCCCCCAATAGTGCAGAAGGGTTCCCCTTTCTCTCAATCCTTACCAACATCTGTTGTTTCCTGAGTTGTTAATTTTAGCCATTCTGACAGGTGTGAGGTGGTTTCTCAGTGTGGTTTTGGTTTGTATTTCCCTGTTGATGAGTGATATTGAACTGGAAGTCCTAGCCTCGGCAATCAGACAACAAAAAGAAATAAAAGGCATCCAAATTGGGAAAAAAGAAGTCAAACTATCACTCCTTGCAGATGACATGATACTCTACATGGAAAACCTGAAAGACTCCACCAAAAAACTGCTGGAACTGATACATGAATTCAGCAAAGTCACAGGCTATAAAATCAACGTACAGAAATCGGTTGCATTTCTATACATCAATAATGAAGCAGCAGAAACAGAAAGTAAGGAATCGATCCCGTTTACAATTGCACCAAAAAACATAAATGACCTAGGAATAAACCTATCCAAAGAGGTAAAAGATGTGTATGCTGAAAACTATAGAAAGCTTATGAAAGAAACTGAAGAACACATGAAGAAATGGAAAAACATTCCATGCTCATGGATTGAAAGAACAAATATTGTTAAAATGTCAATACTACCCAAAGCAATCTACATATTCAATACAATCTCTATCAAAAATAACACCAGCATTCTTCACAGACTAGAACAAACAATCCTAAAATCTGTTTGAAACCAGAAAAGACCCTGAATAGACAAAGCAATCCTGGAAAAGAAAACCAAAGCTGGAAGCATCACAATTCTGGACTTTAAGCTGTATTACAAAGCTGTAATCATAAAGACAGTATGGTACTGGCACAAAAACAGACACATAGATCAATGGAACAGAATAGAGAACCCAGTAATGGACATATATAGATGACCAACTAATCTTCAACAAAGCAGGAAAGAGTATCCAGTAGAAAAAAGACAGTCTCTTCAGCAAATTGTGTTGGGAAAACTGGACAGTGACATGCAGAAGAATGAACTTGGACCACTTTCTTACACCATGCACAAAAATAAACTCAAAATGGATGAAAGACCTAAATGTAAGACAGGAAACCACCAAAATCCTAGAGGAGAAAACAGACAGCAACCTTTTTGACCTTGGCTGCAGCAGCTTCTTACCTGACATGTCTCCAGAGGCAAGGGAAATAAAAGCAAAAATAAACTATTGGGACTTCATCAAGATAAAAACTTCTACACAGCAAAGGAAACAATCAACAAAGCTAAAAGGCAACTGACAGAATGAGAGAAGGTATTTAAAATGACATATCAGATAAAGGGTTAGTATCCAAAATCTATAAGGAACTTCTCAAACTCAACACCTCAAAAACAAGTAATCCAATGAAGAAATGGCCAGCAGACATGAATTGACACTTTTCCAAAGAAGACATCCAGATGACTACCAGACATGAAAAGATGCTACAAAACCTGTACATTCTTAATACTACTACAATATTTTTAAGTGTCATCTTGTAAAAAGCTTAGGGTATCCTAAAAAGAGGAAATTATCCCTCATAATCTTTGTTTCATTTCTATTTTAACCATGGTAACTGTGTAAAGTGAAAATGACTAAATTTAATAACATAAACTGTTGTTTTATGATGTTTTGGTTTTGGTTTAGGCTTAAGACTTTGTACTTAATGATTTGTGTTTTGTAGTGATTTCAGAAACAGCATTTAAATAATGGGTACATCCTTTGACTTTCTAGGAGGTTGCTGATCCTACTTTATTTAGTAGTTAAGTGACAGGAGGAGTCAATTTACCAGTGATGCTTTTTTGTTTGTTTGTTTTGTGTTTTGATCAGGATAAATTGAATTTTATTGTGCTTTACAAGTCTTGGTTTTATTTTAGAGAACATTCTGAAAGGCTCTTTATATAGGAGCTCCCAGCAGCATTAAAGTGAATGTAAAATAGTAAAGTTAATGCTAGTTCATATCAGTGAGCAAGTATTGCTTCAGCTTTGATTCTTCCCACTATATATATATATATATATATATATATATATATATATATATATATGTCAAGTTACCTAATATACAGTGTATACAGTATGCTCTTGATTTTAGGCGTAGATTCCTATGATTCATCACTTACATACAACACCCAGTGCTCATCCCAACAAGTGCCCTCCTCAATACCTATCACCCGTTTTCACCCTGCCCCTCTACCCCCCACCATCAACCCTCACTTTGTTCTCTGTATCTAAGAGTCCCTTGTGGTTTGCCTCCCTCTCTGTTTGAAGCTATTTGTCACCTTCCCCTCTTCCATGGTCTTCTGTTAAGTTTCTACAATTCCACATAGGAGTGAAAACATATATCTGTCTTTTTCTGACTTATTTCACTTAGCATAATACCCTCCAGTTCCATCCATGTTGTTGCAAATGTCAGGATTTCATTCTTTCTCATTGCCAAGAGTATTCCATTGTATATATAAGCCACATCTTCTTTATCCATTCATCAGTTGATGGACATTTAGGCTCTTTCCATAATTTTGCTATTGTTGAGAGCACTGCTATAAACATTGGGGTACATGTGCCCCTATGCATCAGCACTCCTGTATCCCTTGGATATTCTATTAATTTTTTGAGGACCCTCTGTACTGCTTTCCAGACTGGCTGCACTAGTTTGCATTCCCACCAGTTCCTGTTTCTCCACATCCTTGCCAGCATCTGTTGTTGCCTGAGTTGTTAATTTTAGCCATGAGGTCGTATCTCAATGTGGTTTTGATTTGTATTTCCCTGATGATGAGTGATGTTGAGCATCTTTTCATGTGTCTGTTGGCCATCTGGATGTCTTCTTTAGAAAAGTGTCTATTCATGTCTTCTGCCCATTTCTACACTGGTTATTTGTTTTTCGGGTGTTGAGTTTGGGTAAGTTCTTTATAGATTTTGGACATGAACCCTTTATCCAATATGTCATTTGCAAATATCTTCTCCCATTCCATTGGTTGCCTTTTCCTTTGCTGTGCAGAAGCTTTTTATCTTGATGAGGTTACAGTAGTTCATTTTTGCTTTTATTTCCCTTGCCTTCAGAGATGTGTCAAATTGACCAGTGATTCTAACTGCTTGATGTTGTTTCTAAGGGACATTGTTACTATCTTTTATGTCCTTAGGACTTGAGGATACTCTTCAGTAATAATAATAGCCAACAGTGATTAGTACTTACTCTGACCAGGCATTGTACAAAGCATTGTACATGGATGTTCTGATTTGTAATACTGGGCATAAAATTTCCTTTCAGCTATATATAGTGCATGAAGCTTTTAAAATGTAAATACATAAGAATTAAAAAAGCACTCTAGTGGGGCGCCTGGGTGGCTCAGTTGGTTAAGCATCCGACTTGGGCTCAGGTCATGATCTCCTGGTTCGTGAGTTCGAGCCCTGCATCAGGCTCTGTGCTGACAGCTCGGAGCCTGGAGCCTGCTTCAGATTCTGTGTCTCCCTCTCTGCCCTTCGCCTGCTCATGCTCTGTCTCTTTCTCAAAAATAAATAAACATTTTTTTAAAAATTTTAAAAAGCACTCTAGTATCATAATATTACATATATTGGTACATAAGGAAGAAGAGAAAAATTCTCAGTAAAACAAGGAAATGTTATGATTCTGGTATTCTGCTTTTGCATTTCTTTTTTCCTTGATTTAATGAACATAGATTTCCATTTTCCTAATACATTCTGAAGAAGATAATAGATGTACCTTAAAATTTCTAATATTTCTAACATTCTTCATTTAAGACAAAGAAATTACATCTTCAACAGTTAAGACTATAGTAAATTCAGGTATTTTAACCAAAGAATTAAAATAATTAAATTAAAATGTATGACCAGATTGTTTTATTAAATGTGTTTTTACTATATTAATTTTGGTATCCTTAAACTTTTTCCATGTAAGCAAAAATACTTTTGAAAGTTTTTCAATAATACATAGAACAGGCATTCTATGTAAAAAAAAAAAAAGAATGGTTTAGTTATATTCGTAGGTTGGAAAACCCAATATTCATAGGCTAAACACTAGGAACCAAATAGTACACTCTGCCAAATATTATGTGACTATTGTTATTCCTTTATATTAAAGTAGGTAGTAAGAAGTACTTATTCTTTAATCTGTAAATATTTTAGAATTTATTTTAGTGATATATGAATAATTTAGTAGATGGGATGGAATGGGTGTTTGTTATTTAGAGTTAAATTATCTTGGGATGCCTGGGTGGCTCAGGCAGTTGAGCGTCCAACTTTGGCTCAGGTCATGATCTCACAGTTTGTGAGTTCAAGCCCTGCATCGGGCTCTGTGCTGACAGCTCAGGGCCTGGAGCCTGCTTCAGATTCTGTGTCTCCCTCTCTCTACCCCTCTTCTGTTCGCACTATGTCTCTCTCAAAAATAAACATTTAAAACAAATTTTTTAAGGAGTTAAATTATCTTTCTCACCTAGGAAGATATCATTTAATACACTCAAGTAGTTTAAGAAAGGAGACACTAGTGTTCTAAAGACTTCTTAAAATGGAAAACAGAAAAAAATTATTCCGTAACATTGGCCAACTCAGGCTTAGTTCTCAGGTTCAAAAACTAAATGTTAAGAACAAAAATATACAGATTCAAACCTTGTAATCAATTTTTTAAATGTCTGCTATGTTTCACAAGCTAATTGATATTCTTTAAGGTTCTCCTAGCATTAATTCTTCTCACACTCTACCCTGTGAATGGATAGTTATTTCAAAGGCTGCTATGCAGTTGTAACTATTAAATGAAATATAATAGGAAAGCACTTAGAATCAGTTATTACCTCAGACAGAAATCTTAAATCTGTGGCAGTGCTCAACAACAAAAACAAAAACAATTCAAAAATGGACAAAACTTGGGTAGATAACTCTCCATAAAAGATATACCAATGATTAATAATACTTGAAAAGATGTTCAATAAAACTGATCATTGGAGAAATACAAATCAAAACCATAATGAGATTCTACCTCACACTTATTAGGATGACTACTAACCAAACAAAAAAGCAGAAAGTAACAAGCATTGGTAAGGATGCAGAGAAATAGAACCCTGTATACTAGTCTATGCTATAGGCAGAAATTTATATTCCCCCAAAATTCCTGTGGAAATCCTAATATCCAGGGTATTAGAAGATGGGGCCTTTGGAAAGTGATTAATGCCCTTATAAAAGAAGCCCTGGAGAATTGCCTCCCCCTTCCCATCATGTGAGGACACAGCAAGAAGGCTCTGACTATGAACCAGGAAGCAGACTCTCACCAGAATACAATCATGCTAGTTTCTTGATCTCTGACTTCCCAACCTCCAGAACAGTGCACAATATATTACTGTTGTTTATAAGCTACCTAGCCTATGGCATTTTTTTTATAGCGGTCTGAACAGACAGACATGACAATAATGTAAATGGTGCAGCCGCTATGTAAAACAGAATGACAGTTCTCACAAAATTAAACAGAATTAACTATATGATCCAGCAGTCTCATTTCTGGGTACATACCCAAAAGAATTTTAAACAAGGTCTCCAAAATATATTTGTAAACCCATGTTCATAGCAGCTTGATTCACAATAGCCAAAAGGTGAAAGCAACCCAAGTGTCGATTAACAGATGAATGGATAGAGAACTTGTAGGGAAAATGGCAGAATAGGATGATCCTGGGCTCAGCTTGTCCCAAGGATACAAGTAGATAATCCCCACATCAATGTAAATAATCCAGAAGATAACCCAAAGACTGGCAGAACAGAGTCTCCACAGCTAAATGTACAGAAGAGGTCACATCCAAGAGGGTAGGAAGGACAGAGATGTGGTCTGGAGCTAAATGGACATGCAGGACTGGCTTTAGGAAGGAGGGACCCAGCAGCTCAGAGAAGGGAAAGAAACATTCACTCACACCAAGCACCCCAGGCACAGAAGACTAATCCCCATAACGTGGCTTTGAAAAACAGAGGGACATAATTTCACAAACTCTTGCAGTCATTGGGGCTTCACATCTGGCAGTTTAAAAATCAGCAGATTCGGGGACCTATAACTTTCATCAAATTCTAACTATTTGTTGAACATAACTATCTGTTGTGTTAAAAGTGGTTAATAATAGGAGAGTTTAAGAGACAGTGCATTTGAGGCACCTGGGTGGCTCAGTCGGTTAAACATCTGATTCCTGATTTCGGTTCAGGTTGTACTGTCACAGTCATGAGATCAAGCCCCATGTCAAGCCCTGTCTGGCTCTGTGCTGAGTGCAGAGCCTGCTTGGGATGTTCTCTCTCTGTCTGCCTCTGCCTCTCCCTCACTTGCACTGTCTCTCTCTCTCTCTCTCTCTCTCAAAAAAAAATAAATAAATAACAACAAAAACAAAAAACACAGCACATTGAGCTCTAGAAGAGCCAGCAGGGCAGTGGGAAATTGAGTCCCCCACCCTTGAGGAGAGAGCACAAACATCCCAAGGGGATATGGCATAGAAGCAAGTTTCAAAATGCATTGGGTATATGGGAGAAAGATTTGTTACTAATCTCAGAGTATAACCTGGAGGGGCAGGAATCATTGGGAGACTTCTCCAGGAACAGTGAAGCTGGTGTACACCATTTCCCTCAATTTCCCCAACCTAGATACACAGATACCCACGCAAAACAGGAAAGCACCAACATACCCCACCTAGCTTGCTAACAGTGTGCCCCACCCCCGCGTTCTCCTGTGAATCCACCCCACCTTGTCCAGAATCCATCCAAAGTGGTGCCACAATCCTGACAGTATGCAAGCAGCCTCGACAGGCCAGCGCCACTCTATAAAGTGACTCCTGCCCCTGGTAGAAAGAAAGATAACCACGCATACCAGTCCAGCTATGGCCCCAGCAGTAAGCTAAGGACAGATAGCTGGTCTGGCTGCAGGCCCCACCCACCACCCAAAGCTTCTCAGGGGACAACACAGGAAAAGTGCTGGGTAGTTTGCTGCTACTCCATCTCTGGCAAACACCAGCTATGACTCAACTCAAGGCCAAGGCAACCCCAAACTGGCCGACTAACAACACAGGACCAAAACCTGCCCACAACAGGCAAAAAAAAAAAAAAAAAAAAAAAAAAAAAAAAAAACCATTTCAGACAACTGGATTGAAAGCAAATGCAGCTTAGCCACAACAGTAGGTGCACACAGCACATACAGAAGACACCCCTGAAGTGCCAGGTTCTGGTGAACAGGAAACATTGCAATGCAAGACCCTACAGGATCTCTTCTTCCTACGGCCACTACTTTCGAGGCAGGAGCTATAGCTGACTTTGCTAACACATAGAAACAGACTCAGATATGTAGACAAAATAAGGAGACAGGAGAACATATCCCAGATAAAAGAACAGGACAAAATCACAGCAAGAAAACTGAACCAAACAGAGATAAGTTATATGCCTGATAGGTCATTTAAAGTAGTGGTCATGAAGGTATTCACTGAACTGGAGAAAAGCCTGGAGGTTCTCAGTGAGACACTTAACAAAGAGGCTTAAAAAATATGAAAAAGAACCAATCAGACATGAAGAACTCAATAACTGAAATGAAAAATACACTAGAGGGAATGAAGCAGA